GCGCGTTTTGCGGTGTTTGCGTTTTGCGGCGGGCGGGCGTTTTTTACAATTCAAAGTCCATACTTTCGGGTCACAGCGCTCCTCGAAATAACCGAAGGTTTGTTGTCAATAGTTAAAACACTATTCTTTAGAATTGTGTTTTTCTATTGAAAAACAAATCTGAGTTCCCTGACAATTTGGCAAAAGCTGCCTGAGATCAGTACAACTTGATGCTCGAGAAAACGGCTGTTCCAAAAATTCTGATTTTTTTTCAGGATTTCTAGTGGGCCAGGTGATCTACGTTCTGGTATGGGTCTCCCCTCCGCGGACGATCTGATGCACGTGCCACATGACTTTGAAAATTCCCGTGTTAAGCCAACGGGCAAAATGAAAAAATATGCGTTCCACGGCAGGTTGCTCGAAAACGATCCAAACGACCCCCCCCCCCCATTTTCTTCCATGCGGATCAACCACCATTCGGTGCACTTCCCATGGGTATGTCGCAAAGTGGCCGGAAAAGTCCAGAACCACGTGCCACGTGCCGTTGAAAATGACCCTGCACACCGGAAATTTGGACTTTTGGTCATTTCGGCGCACCCATGATGCATACTATGGCTTGGGTGACCAAACAATGGGTGTCATCCGGTCGGCAACTGTTTAAGGTGTCGTCCAGTGGGTCAAAGTGGTAGTTTCAAACTTTTGGGATCCACCATTTTGGGGATTCTTTTTGACAATGTACTTACGTGTCTTGGCGCAATGTTCATTCCACCCAGCCGGTCGTCAATGCGTTAGGTGACCCAAATGACGATTGACCTGAAAGAAGTTGGGGGCGAGGAACACGCACGTGCCATCCGTTTTTTAATTGGGCGCTTTCATCTAGGAGATTTTTGCAGATATCTTTTTGATTTGTGAAAATGACCAAAAAGCTGAATCTCTGGAATCCTAACGGTATGCCAGTCGTTCTCGTTGATAAATTATTATCTTGCTGCGGCCGGGCGCTTATTTGTAGTGTTTGCGTTTGGCGGCTGGCGGGCGACTTTTAGTCGTTTTCGGTTAGCAGTTAGCGTCGGTGCGATGCGGGCGGTTTTATTTTTTTTTCGGTGTTTCGGCGTTTTTTTTTTGTGTGGTTTGCGGCGGTCGGGTGATTTTTTTTCGACGTTTTTGTTGGCGTTTCGGGCGTGCGTTTTGCACGTTTTGCGGTGTTTACCTTTTGCGGCGGGCGGGCGTTTTGTGTTTTTTTTTGCGGCGTTTGTCTTTGGCGGCGGGCGGGCGATGCGGGCGGTTTCCTTTTTTGCGTCGTTTGCGGTGTTAAATTTGTTTGCGGTTGGCGGCCGGTTTTTCGTTTTTTGCGGTGTTTGCTTTTGGCGGCGGGCGGGCGATTTTTAGGCGTTTTCGGTTGGCGGTTAGCGGGCGGGCGATGCGGGCGGTTTTATTGTTTTGCGGCGTTTTTGCGTTTTTTTTTGCGGTTTGTGGCGGGCGGGCGTTTGTCTATTTTTTTTTTTGCGACGTTTACGTTGGCGTTTCGGGCGTGCGTTTTGCGCGTTTTGCGGTGTTTGCGTTTTGCGGCGGGCGGGCGTTTTTTACAATTCAAAGTCCAAACCTTCGGGCCACAGCGCTTCTCGAAAAGCGCTGCCCTCGAGTATAGTAGAAGTAGATAAGATGATACTTTTTGCCCACCAGGCACCAGGCACTAATGAAGACAGCAAAATTTTGAAAGCTTACCTTAAGGCTTCAACTACATCTCTCAGCAAAAGTAGCTACTCGTGTTAAAGGCCAAAACATTTAACTTGCAATCAATAAATGACATTTTCCCGTAACTGCAAAACGCAAATAAATATCCTAAAATAACCCTCCACAAATAAAATAACACAAGTCGAGTGCCAGAGTACCAGAACGCCGCCAACCAGGTGAAGCGCCTTAAGTGTCGATATTTTTTCCGCTCATTTTATCTGAATGGGATACAATGTAGCTTATATTTTTTTGCATACCAAAATATGATATTAAATCGTCTGGAGTTTAGCCAATTTCATAAAATAGCTATTTTTTATTATTTGTACCAGAAAATGCACAATAAACTTAGTTTAAAACTAAGTCTTAAGATGGAAGGGGAGAAAGGGAAATGGCGCAGCTGTAACATTCCTCAAATCTGTTCGTGAGCAGAATTTACGTAATGCCGGTGACATCTTGAAATGTATACGTTACAGGGAGTTTGAGAAGTCCGTGAGTTTTTGGGCCAAATAAAAACAAGTGTGTAGCATGTGGGTGGCATACCCACATGCAAGTCCGTGATGCTACCCCGCGCCGTGGTGGGGGTGGGGGGCTATTTTTTGGCCCCCTCCAGTCATTTCGCGATGATCTCCAGAACCGCTGCGCCGATCGTCACCAAACTTTTAGTACCCTCCCGGGCATTAATTTTACACATGGTGACAATTTTTTTCCAAAGGCTGTGATAGGTTGGCCGCAAATGACGTCAGAGTGACGTCATGTTCTGCTGTTTTCGACCCAAAAAAGGTTTCGCGGGCAGAGCTATCAGGCGTATAGCTTTGGAGGTACAGAAAAATGTTTCAGACATAAAAGGTGGAGAATTATCAGGGCTACGAAACTGCTATCTCGGGATTTTAAACTTTTTTAATTTTGACCCCCCAAAATAAAAAAAAAATTGTTCAATATACTTGCCAAAAATCCATAAAGTTTTTCGATTTTCGAAAAAATCGGAATATATATGATAGCCCTTACCGACTTCTATTCACATATACAATTTCAGATCGATACCTCTTTTTTGGCCAAGTTGTAGCGAAAAGCTGTTCAAAATTAACGTCAAATTTTCAAACTCAATTTTTAGCAATTCTAGACCACGTAGCGCAAAAGAAAGACCACCATTAGACTTGCCGTGACGAGTTGCATCGAATCAACACCCATTTTATGCAAAAATATCAAACTTTGAAATTTGACCTTTTTGACCTGACATTGACCTGACCTCCACCAGGAAGTGACCTAAACCGTTCTTGATGGTCTTATAACCAACACCATTGAGCTTGAAATGAAAGTTTGCCATAAAACATGCATTACACTGCCCAAGTAAAATTGGGTTCATGTGCGTGACCTTGGTGACCTGACCCGTGACCTGACCTGGTACTATCCGTGACCTCTAATAGCAACATATGTATGTACTAGGCAACTGACGCCCTATCGCTGATTTTCAATAAAATGCGTTTTACTGGATACTATAGCGCATTCCTAGAAGACCCATGACCGGCAAAACATTTTATCTTTGACCTGACCTGTGACGTCATCGGCGACCCGAGGTCAATGAAATTGGATTTCATTCGATCAATTTGATAGGGCTTTCGAACACCGTTTGAATTTTGCGGATCCGTCCAGTAGTTTCGGAGATACGGGAGGGGGGAGGGCAAAAAATAGCCCCCACCACCTGGTCGCGTTATAAGCAGACCCCACCAGGGCACGGGATTAAAGCAAAGGCGGCTAGTTGTAGGGCCTAGCACGCTGACAAAAAGCTTGTAGATCATATGCACACGGTCACACCATAAATACCTTTTGATTTTAAACTGTTCAGTGGTCTAGCCAAGCATGTACCGCCGCTTTATTTAGTCATACATTTATTTAGTTCACGTCCCAATTAGATCCGTTCCACTCAAGTGTGGCTATTTCGGAGTCAGGCTCAATATATCAAAGTGGAAACAGCTCAGTTGGTCACTTATGCTAAAGTACAGGCACACGCACCAATTCACGCCCATTCCCACTCCGCCATGTGTCATCGAGAGCCGGCGCTGCTGGCAGCCAGCTGCGACTGAAGTACGTTGCTTGTTCGTTTTTTTTTTTGGGGGGGGGGGGGGGTTAGGCCCTTTCGGTCTGACAAGACCATTTCAGAGCCAGAAGGATGCTAGGAATTAGGGGGAGACATTGGTCTGGGCAGACACCCTAGAGAGTCGCCGGGGCTGAGCCCGTCCGAATGGACAGGCCGACCATCCTCCCAAGCACCCTCTGCACCCGGCTACGGGGTGCATTCCCTCGGGAGCAGCGGTGCCGCTCCAAGGAAGCAGCCCGCATGAGATAAAGGTGCCTGTCCAGCCCGGAGTGGGGAGGGGGGGGGGGGGCTCGGCGTGAAAAAGAAGGATTTCAGTATCCTGAGGATGGAAACAACGGATCGGAGGAGCACGTTGCTCCGAACCTCCCCTTTACATAGCCGCGAGTAGTATTTTTTCCGGTAAAAATAAATTAAGTAGGTATCTGTAAGCTTTTTGTCAGCGTGCGACGGTTATATAGGCCATACCACTACCCGCCTTTGTTTTAACATCACGGACGGCACGTATGCCACCCTCATCTTACACACTTGATTTTATTTGTCCCAATCGCTCTGAAAGTTCCCAAGCTTCCTGACCGGTCAGTGAGTTTGCAAACTCCCTAGTGACTTTGTAAACTCCCTAGTGAGTTTGAAAACTTACTGATGGGTCAGGGATTTCTCAAACTCCCTGTAACATATACATATACAAGGATGCTGATTAGTTCATCGAGCTCATGAGTGGTATTACTCACCTACTTAAGTACAAGGCTGCAGCAATGTGCGCATGCGCAGGAACTAGTGGCCTCATGCAGCGAAATCCATGCATATTTTTTGGTGATAGAATTTACAAAGCAAATGTTAAAACAAATTTATTATTTTTTTTGTTATTCTAATAATTTTCTTTAACAAATAAGAAAGGTGATATTCTCTCTTTTACTGGGGGCGGGGCACTGGCTATGAATTGTGAAAGTGATGTCCGAGGAGGTGCTGAAAATGGCGTGTCGAAATTCGCAGTAGTTTTTGAATTATTTTCGAAAAAGCACAGGGGCCCTTGTTACCAGCAGGTTGCGGGTTGAGAGATGCTCTCCTCCAGTCCAAGTTATTCCACTGCTTATGGTCATGGGAGGACAAAACGCGGGCCGTTTGAGCCACTCGCCCGACTGTGGAAGCTGAGTGCTGACAGTGATGATGTGACATGTCTTCCGTTGGCTCGTTTCAGATTTATACCGACTGGGCAAATCACTACCTGGACAAGAGCAAATGCAAGCGTCACATCCGCAGCCTCCAGAATGACGTCATAGATGGCGTCATAATCAGTGACGTTATCGAAGCAGTTAGTGAGTACACACGAGTAGTCCATCACAGTTACTTACCGTAGCGTCGAAACTGGCAGGGCTGCGCGGAGGGCGAGCGCACTGCGCATCGTATTCACTACCATATTCCCAGTGTCGCCGAGGCAGGAACCGCCGGCCGCTGCGCCACAGGTCACCGCTGACGTACTTGTAGTTTGAGGTATCCGTAGTGGGCTACGTTTTCGTCTGTATCTTAGCAACTATTCTTCAAAATATCATGAAACTTGGAAGGTGGCCTATATGCAGTGGCGTAGCCAGTACTTTTTGATGAGAGGGGCACAGTAGGTCCGATGGGCCCTCCTTGCAGACGGACCCCATTTGCAGGTGGACCTCTCTGTAACGGTCTTAGAATTTTAGGAAAAGTGTAAAATTGGTGAGTGCAAATTATAGCCATCGAAATAACGGAGCATCATTTAGGCAAATGCTCGATTCTGGACCAAATGATGCCATTTGCGTTTCAAGAAGCGGCGTAATTAATGGCAAATACTTCATCAAGTTCTTGATATCGGAGGTGTAAACAACGTGCAGATTTGTTGCGTGAATTTGAACGAATATGAAGTATGAAGCTAAAGTTATGGACATTTTTGATATATTTGATAATGTTGAGCCCGTTAAGGAAGAAATAAGAGCGGAAAGAGAAAAAGAAACGAAAAATCTCCTGTACCAGTCGCTTGTTTGTGGCCTTGACTGTCGGAATTTCGTCTATTCGCCGCACCCCGCCACTTTCGTAGCCAGGTACTGCTTGCCTGTTTTTTCTGCTGTTTTCCATAAATCAATTTGATAAGATATAATCAACAAAATTATATTTGTCTTTCATAATTATTTCTGATAATTTTGTTTCCACATTTTATTTTATGATTACTCGTGAAAAAATAAGTGTTGACATGAAACTGTAATTTGCAGGACGCTTGATAAATGATAATTCACGCCAACCACGCAAATGCACCTATAGTCTGTTTTTTTAGCAGCTGCCGGTCGTTTTAAGTGCCTAAATTGCAACTGCGCGTGCTTTTGAGACTGCGAAAACAGAAATACGAGACACTTTCTATCGGCTCCTTTTATGGCGGCTCGAATGGAGCGTATCAATCCAGTATCGATCCGTGTCGATCCAGCTGTCGTACTGAACTTGCCATGTTCTGCACACTCAGGCTCCAGCATTCAGAATTGTGCTGACTTTCACTTAGGCTGGTGGAATAAGCTGCGGATTTGTCTTTTACGCCTCACAACCCTTCTTGAGAATTGTCATCACCGTTCTTGCGCTATCAGTTTGTACACTATATAAAAAGAGGAGAGAGGGGTTGAGAGGAGGGCAACGTTCCCTGGCCAGGTGGCCTCTTTGTGTCAGCGAAGATGGTACAAAAGTCGTGCCATGGTGCCAGCGATAGCAGGAGGCAGGAGATTGAGAAAGTGAATAATTTAGGAATGAAACCAGCTTGTGTATACCGCCTTATCACTGTTCTTTATATGTAGATTGCATCATACCTATATGAAATGCAAAAGTGCTCAAATGTCCGGGCGTCGTTTGTATTTTAAACAGCGCCGGGCCGGTACTCGGCGACTTCCGCGCCGGGCCGGGGGTGTCTGAACCCACCCCCGTCTAAATCAGCTCCTGGGCCAAGTAGCGACTCGCAGTAAGCGTTATTCGAAAGAGCAAAAGAAATAATGAAGAAAACACATCAGTCATTTTTAGGTCAGGTCAAAGGTCAGGTCACCAGAGGTCATCAAAGGTCAAATTTTGTCAAATCAAAGGTCAAACGAAAGAGCAAAAAGTAAACCATATATTCTGAAGGTCATCCCAGTGCAGTCTGCATCCAGCTGTTCACGCCTGCCTCGTGCATAATCGCAAATCATAATCATGCGATCATCATCAGTCATCACCGTATAGCGAGTCAGCCCAGCACAGCTCCTCTCGTCTTCTACTCGTCTTCTGTGTCTTCGTCTTCACTATCACTGCTTCCCAGGGTAACGACGACGCGCTCCACCTCTTCGGCCACGTTCTCGTGCTGCCAGTAGCGCTCTTCGAGCACTTCCACGTGATCGCAGCACTTAGCCCATGCCGAGGGTGGGATGTGGGCCACCGCCTCTTCCACAAGCAGCTTGATGGCTCCCATGCTTCCGCTTCTGTTGCGTTGTCTCACATACGTTTTCAGTTGAGCCCATATCATTTCGATCGGGTTCAGGTCGCAACTGTAGGGTGCCAGCCTGACCACTGTGTGTCCTTTTTCTTTAGCCAGTTCATCCACATAGTACGTTTTTGGGGGAGCGTGCTTGTGAACCAGCTCCAGAAGCTCCACTTTGAGCATGTCGTCGGCATATGAAATGCCATTTTCTTCCAGCCATGCCTGGATCTCCCCTTTCTTGTTACTGGTCGTCGGGTGTAGTGTCCACCGCCGTCTCCGGGTTCCGATGTATTCTCACAAACTCGCGGTGCAAAACACTAAGGCACTGTCGTGCTGTGCGGCCGGGCGGAGCCTCTCGACTGCTGGCTCTGACTGGAGCCGAGCAGGGTGCGGCCGCCTCACACTCGTATTACCGGGGGCCCGATGCCGAGCCTCGGACACCCGATGCACTAGGTACTCGATACACTACACATTCCCCCCTCTCGCAAAAAAAGGAACAGCATCACTGCGACACGTAGTAGTCCGGTCGTCTACAGACACGGTCGCTTCGCCTGGGACGCTGCACGCTCACATCGGCGGCGTCCGGCGACGGCTCGCAAGCTGTCTCGGTCGACGGGCGAGAAGCAGCGGCGAGCGAGGTCAGCGGGCCAGCGGCGTCGGCCTCGGAAGTCGTGGCGGTCGACGTGGTCTCGCCGGGCCCAGCGGGGGGAGATGCGGAGGGAGACGCCGGCGCGTATGGGAGACGGGCCAGATGGGCGGCGTTCCAGGTCCGGCCGTCAGCCAGACGGTACGTTGCGGGACCGACGCGCCCAGTGACTCGCACCGGAGACGTGAACCGACAGGACGTCTTCGAGCGGTGTCCCTGCCGTCTCACGCAGACGTAGTCGCCCTCAGTGATGCGCGGCGTCGTCACGCCACGGCGGCGGTCGTAGGACCTCTTGTTGGACTGCTGTCGGCGTCGAACTCGAGACGCCACACTGTCGGCTCCTGGTGTTGACGGCTGAATGACAGGCAGGTTCAGCCTCATCTGTCGTCCATGCAGGAGCTCTGACGGTGACTTCCCAGTTGTCGTGTGTGGGGTGGCTCGATACACCGCCAGGCTCTTGCGTACCTCGTCAATGAACGCTGCTGGTGGACAGTCTGTGATCCACGACTTGAACGTTTTGTTGAAGCGCTCTACGGCGGAGTTGCCTCTAGGCCAGTAGACGGACGATTTGGTGTGCTTCACCCCTCGGGCGGCCAGATACGCAGTGAACTCCCTGCTCGTGAACTGGGGCCCATTGTCCGTCACGATCTCGTCGGGATAGCCCTCTTTGGCCCACACAGTTGACAAGAACTTGATGACGTCTTCAGTCTCAGTCGATGACGTCAGGCAGACTTCCGCCCATTTGCTTCTGTAGTCAATCAGAGTGATGGCGTAACGGGCAGTCGCTGGTGCTCCGTTGATTGGACCAACGATATCCATTCCCAGTTTCGACCAGGCGCGGTCCGGCAGGTCGACTGGCTGCATGGGCGCAGGGCGTGCGCGCTGGGAGAGGACTGCGTCGCTGTGCTGGCAGCGCTCGCAACTTCGGCACAGCTCCTCCACCTCACGGTTGATGCCGGGCCACCACGCCAGATTCCGCAGCGCCTGTTTCATGCGGACGATTCCGTCGTGCGCGCTGTGCGCCAGCTCCAGGTATCTGCGGCGGAGCTGAACGGGCACAACAACTTGTTGGGCTCCTCTCAGGATGACGTCGTCGTTGCGCACCCACAACTCGTGTCTCATCTTGAAGTACGGCTGGACTTCAACCGGGCAGGCCTTGGCGCTGCTCGGCCAGCCGCGCTTGATCTGATGACGCAGCTGCTGCAGCTCAGGATCAGCAGCTGACGCGGTGCGGACGTCTTGCTCGGTCAGCACGCTCTCTTCATCTGTCAGAAGAGCGATCACCTCTTCTTCAGCGGAGCTGTCTTCATGCAGGTCCGCTTCTTCGGGGTGGCCACGGACCATTGTCAGTGAGCATATCTCGCCAGGGTCGGGCTGAGACGGTGGCGGTTCCGGGACTTCTGCGCTCCCAGTGACCGCCAGCTGATCGATTGCCCCACTCGCGGGGTGCAGGTTTACGTCCAACTGCTTCAGCAGGTCCAGTCCCATGACGGCTTCTTCACCGTCGGAATCTATGATGAAGAACTCTGTGTTGGCTCGCCGTCCACGGTAGGTCACCAGCGCTGGCAGCGTGCCAAGCACTTGAAGCTGGTGTCGACCAAAACCGAACAGACGAGCAGACGTTCTATTGAGACGACTGCCTTTGAAGAGACGTCTGGCGATGCCGAGTCCTAAAGCGGACACCGTGGCACCCGTGTCAACTTGCAGATTCACGGTCTGCGTGATACCTGGTACCTTCATCTGTACTTCGCACATCATCTTATCGGTATTTGGTACGGCGCAGCAGAGAACAGTCAGCTCGTGACACCTTCTGTCGTCGTTCCGTTCACCAGACCAGCAGACCACGGCAAAGTGACCCGTCCGCCCACACTGCCTGCACGTGGCCCCGGTAGCGGGACACCGACCGCGCTCATTGTGCTGGCGCCGACCGCAGCTGGGGCACGTGTCCGGTTGCAGCTGGGCAGGTCCGGGGCGACGGTCGGCTTGCAACTGGGCAGGGGCGGGGCGGCGGTCGTCTTGCCGCCGGGCGGGTCGCCAGGGCCGGCGCCCGCGGCGCTGACGAGCGTCAGATATCTGATGCAGTGACTGCGCTCCGTCGGCGGCGGGCCGCGCCGGCCCGGCCATGGCGGTCGCCTCGCGTCGGGATCGCTCGAATGCCTCGGCGATCTCCAGAACGCGGTCCAGGGTCAGGCCCTTATCCTGCAGAAAACGCTCGCGGA